ATGAACGCACTAAACACATTGAGGTTGATTGTCACTTTATTCGCCATCATGTTGCACAGGGAACTGTTCATTTGGTTTTCATTGGCTCCGCTGATCAACCAGCAGATCTATTTACCAAGACTCATTTTCCTGGACGCTTTCGTACTCTTCTTTCCAAACTCAAGTTGATTTCATCACAACCACCTTGAGTTTGAGCGGGGATGTGAAGATGTGAACATAATTATATTTAGAATTATTGTAAATATTTTATACTTTAGAATATTCTGTTTGTATACTTTATACCTTAGAATATTCTCTTTGTAAACACCTATTTATAGGTCATTGTACATATAGTATAATTTAAGAAAAAGCAATAAACCTTTCTTCAGATATTTCTCCTTCTTTTCAGTTTCTAACACTTTTAAAATATAAAAATACTTATAAGAGTGAGTTTATATATGGAGATTATTTTTTCAAAAATTATATTAAATTTTAATTAATTTAAAGTTAACTCATATCAAATTTTATTAATTTAAAATTTATTTTTTATTTACAAAATTTAAATTTAAAATTTTATTTTAAAAAATAAATTTTTTTTATTCAAACAAACAAAAAAAATTAGATGTTAAAAATTGACATTAAATTTTCTGATATTTTAAATACAATAACATTTGGATTTCTCCATTGCCTTCTATCTTTTACTTTGCTATATTAATAAGAAATCAGAAGTCATCACGCATTTTCTTTGATACCGATCCAAACGTTCTCTCTCAAAAAAAAAATCGTCCATTCTCCTACTAGCTATCCACCATCCGGAGCTTCTCTCTTTCGCATCCTCTTCTTGGGTTACTCTTCCATCTCTGTAGTTAATTTTTCCAGCAAATTAATGTCTCTCCACCTGCATGTTTTTAGCTTTGAGCATTAAGAAGTCAGCTAAAAGCGAAGGCATGCTTCTTAATCCCCAGCTATAGTTATTTTCCAAGCCCTGTAGCTATAGAATTTTTACTCAAATTTCATTTCACATATGTTTTCTTTGGCTTTTTCTTCGAACTTCTGATTTTTTTTTTTTTCAGATCGTTATTTGGCTTCCTCTTCTTGGGTTACTCTTCCATCTCTGTAGTTAGTTTTTTCAGCAAATTAATGTCTCTCCACCTGCATGTTTTCAGCTTTGAGCATTTAGAAGTCAGCTAAAAGCGAAGGTACGCTTCTTAATCTCCAGCTATAGTTATTTTCCATGCACTGTACGTAGCTATAGTATTTTTACTCATATTTCATTTTACATGCGTTTTCTTTGGGTTTTTTTTTTTTTTGAACTTTTGATTTTTTTTTTTTAATTTTTCAGATTGTTATTTGGCTTCCTCTTCTTGGGTTACTCTTCCATCTTTGTAGTTAATTTTTCCAGCAAATTAATGTCTCTCCACCTCCATGTTTTCAGCTTTGAGCATTAAGAAGTAAAAGCGAAGGTACGCTTCTTAATCCCCATCTATAGTTATTTTCCATGCCTGTACGTAGCTATAGTATTTTTACTCATATTTCATTTTACATGCATTTTCTTTGGGTTTTTTTTTTTTTTGAACTT